AACCCTAACTGTGTCCAGAGAGAGAAGTCCGTACGTATAAAGGTATGCCAAGCCGACTGTGGCCGTTTCCAGCTTTCACCCTAGGAAGTTCACATTAGCTGTGGAGTCGCTCCTAACTTGGCTTCCCTGTTGGAAAGGCAGCAAACAGCCAGGTGTGCCTTCCCTCGAGAAGGTGCTGGAACTGTTCGCTGTTTGAAGAGATCTGACACGTAGTCAAGTTCACTGTGTGGCCTATGACTCATTCGAAGTATTTTCACCTGCTTACTCTCTGCACAGAGCTGGATGCTGGGGAAGTGCCCCCTGCTCTGCGTGTGGTCAGTGCCCTAAACCAACGTGTGCCAGCCGAGCCCAGTGCCTGGCCCAGCTCCACACCCTGAGCCCTGGCTGCCCTGCTCCTCCTGCCCCTCCTACCCAGCTAGCAAAGCCACACTTCCCTCTCGGGGCCGTCTTCTCCCTACCCCCACACCTGGTCACTGGCGTGGTTTGTGTTTCCCTTGCAGTCCATGTCTCTTCACCCGGCAGTCACTGGTGTCCCCACTGCCGGTCCAGCCCTCCTCCACCTGGCCCAGAATTCCCTCTCTACAGACAGCTCTCAGCCCATCACAGGTCCGCAGAGTTCACCCACAGCCTATGAAATCAAGGCCTGCAACTCATTAAAGAGAACTCTCGCTTCACCACTGCATCCACTTGCCTATGACTGCTCACCTTCTCCACCATCTGTCCTCACAGAGTGCCAGGAGCACTGGGGTGCCGATGTCACCCGGCCACCAGGACAAGCGGCATTTGACTAGTTTTCTTTATGGGTCCCTGAACCTCTAAAATCCACTGCGCTCAGTGGATTGGCTGAAAGCAAAGCACACATGTTGAACGTCAGCAAGAAGGCACAGACATGCACACACGTCCTGGACGATCTCCCTGGCAAACCCCCAAACAAGACACGGTGGAGCCAAGACAGCGTCAGAGCGGCAGACAGTCCCAGACGCTGAGCTCAGGGACCTCATGGTGATGTCCTTCAAAAAAGTGTGGTGGTGGCTGTCTGCAGAGGGACAGCTCTGAGGTTTGTCACCAGGACTCACCTGGCAAGAGTCCACAGGCCTCTAGCACCAGGGCCTACAGGTGTGAGGGCCACTGACTGCTTGCCGGGCCCAGCCAGCCTCCAGGGACCTGAGGGCTTCAGGCTGTGCTGCACAGAGACAGATACAGGGTTTCTTCCGGTCCGGGCTTCACAGCCCTGCACTCAGAGCCCCAAGATCCTGTGTAAGAAGCGAGGCTGTCCAGTCTCTCCTGGGGGACTTCCTTCCCTCCCTCTACTCTGCCTGTGCACCCGCAGGCAGAGGTCGCACCCTTCCACCTTCACTAATGGTTTTATTAGGCTTCGTGAAGTAGTTTTCCAACCTCATTTTGGTTTTCTTGGTCTTGATCGCTTTGCTGAGCATGTGCAATTCCTCAGCTTATATACCCTCTCCACCTTTCTGTGCCCTTGGTATCCTCCCAGAAATAGCTTCTCTGGGAAGTGCTCCTGTACTGCTGCCTGTTGCCTGACAGTCACTGTCCGCCTTCCCACCTCCAGACTCCAGCCCTGCCTTGGCCCATTTTAATCACCAGTGCTGAACAACAGGTCTGGCACACAGAAGGTGCTCGATAAATGTTTGCAGAATGAATTGTGCACTTCTTCAAACTGGCATTAACAAATACGGGATCACTGCTAACTCCGTGTCTCAATACAATGGGGCTTTTACGCTCAGAGACCATCAAATTACAAATATAACTGAAGTGGCTTTTCCACACAGGGGGCGTAACTGACTCAGGAATGCTCCTTGGGCTGGAGAACGTGAACTTATTTATGACCTTGAGTAACTGCGATGATTCAAGGAGCTTACAAGAAATAACTTGGTGAGACTCGGAGAACTTTGCTCCTATGTTTTGAAAAGCAGCAGAATCCTTCTGGGCCTGGCTTTGTTTTGCTTATAGCAAGGCAGAGCTAATTGCTAAGGTTTCCTTCCATAGCCCAAGTACTTGATGACCTAATGCCCAAGAGCCACGCATCCGAACTGACTTTTGAAACTTCCGCCCACTCCCAGTCCACCACCCAGACTGCCAGACAGCGAGGACGCAAGGACGTCCCTGCAGGTCAGCTGCCGAATGTCCACAGCCCTGGGGGTCACTAGGGCCTGGTTGTATCCAGAGATGGCTGGGGCTGAGACACAAAGGTGACACCCGGAAGAGAGGGGAGCAGACTCTGGAATTCGTGGGTTTGTGTCCCCCCTACACCACCTAGTGAGTGTGGGACCCTGGGGAGAATTCCCACCCACACCACATCAGCTTTTAAACACCACAGCGGACATGGTGAGGATGGCGGAGGCCACCAGTGTGTGAGGCACGCAGCAGCCGGAACACGAGGCCGGCACCGCCCAGAAGCTCGATGAAGAAACACTTTCCTCAGGACCACCTCTGCCAGCACAGGGAGCTTCGGGCGCAGGGAAGGTCTCTTGTGGGGACAGTGTCCTAGGCAGAGGCAGCCTCCTGGGCCACTGCCCGGGCCCACAGCCTCGCTCTCCCCCAGGGAGCTGCAGCCGGGGCCCAGCAGCCAGCCCCTGGCCAGCACGCGGGGGTGAGGACAGCTGAGCGCCCGGCCCACAGGAGGTGCTTCTGGGTAAGGAGAGACAGGAGTCCACACTCACAAAACTGGGTCATGCCATGATCTCAGGACAGAAGTAAATGGCCCCGCTTCCCATGAAGCTGCTGATGCTTGAAGTCACAGATCTCAAAAGCAAGGCATGCGGGTGTCCACACGTGAGCGTGTGTGTGCATTGCACAAGGGAGAAAAGTCCCAAGGCAGACAGGAGGTGAGAAAGAAGAGAAGTAAATCCAAAGGGCTACAGAGCTGAGAAGCGATCCTGGTCCCAGAGAACTAAAGCCTGTAACAATATCAAAGCTGAATCAACAAGTATGCCATTAAAATGCTTTTATTATTTGCCTTATTTGAACCTCAGCCACATTTCTATTTAATCGCTCTTCTCATTTTCTTGGGCAATAATTATAAGGGTAACTTTTCAAATAAAATAAAATTGTTCCTCTGCTCGGTGCAGACTGGCTACAGGGCAGGTGGAGGCACGACCCCCAAGGCCCTGGTCGCAGTCTGGGTTGGGAAGATGGCTCCTGTCCTAGGGCTTGGACTCATGACTGAGGGCAAGACACTTGAGACGGTGGGTCACTGAGCCTCCCTCGGCCTCACCTCCCTTGTTTTGAGATTAATATGTTCGACTAGTTAATAGGTGTCTGTGTGTGTATCCTTGCGTGTGTGTGATGAGGGCTGCGAGTGAGTAAACCATGTTGTAAGACAGACCAATGACTAGTTTCAGCAGGCTCCACGGTGAGTCCCTAACCTTCACCTGGTCACTAACCAATCTCTACCACGGGTTCAGGGGTCCTAGCAAGGGTGAGGCAGAAGGTCTGGAAGGTCCCTCATTGCATTATGTAAGAAGTAAAAGCAAGCATCCCTTTCAGGGCTCAGTAACACCCAGCACCCAACATGCCGGAAACCTTCCTCTGCCTGCACTCCCTAGGCTGCCTGCACAGTCTCTTGGTCTGGAAAATGGGATAATAAAAACTGTAAATATGAGAAGAGACTTCTCATGCAAGCAGTATGTAGCTGAAGTGTTAAAGATTACTTAAAGCCACATGCATTACTATTTGTGTTTTAAAGTACTGTTGGGAAACTTTGAGATCCATTTTCTGACTTCCTCTACTTCACTCTGTCTCAGGAGACTCACCAATTGCATTTTCCCAAAGCCATGTGCCCTCTGGCTTCAGGTTAAATTTGGGAGCACTGGCAGGGGGCATTTCTCTTCCTCGGCACTGAGAGTGCGTCTGGCAGCCATGCTACTGTGGTCCCGCCTCCTGATGGGAAACTGTCCCTCTGTGGTCCCAGCTCCTGCTGGGCGGCTTCCTGACACCCACGGCTCCTGCCTTTCCTTCTCAGCCCTACAGGTAATAGCGGCATCGCCTCACTGTGCCTCCAGCCTTTCCAACCTGGGCTGTGGACCACTTGGCATAGCTCTGCCTTCCTGTCTGGACCCTGAGCAAGGGCACTGTCCAAGGGCTGCGGGCTCCCAAGAGCAGACATTGTGTGGGAGGGCACAGGCTCCTTTACTCATTCTCCTCTGCTGCCCGGGAAGGGCTCTTGGATGGCCATCTGCTTGACCGTCTAGTTCTGCTTACACTAGGTGTGTGTGGGAGTGGAAGGACCACTGGATGGGGAGAACTAGAGACTCGATCTCCCTGGTAGTAATGTGACCTTTGCCAAGCACCTGGAGCCACATGGGCTTGAGTTGTTTGTGTCAAGGGGGCCAAGAGTGCACCTGACCTGCTGACTACTTACCTGGCTCCAATGGGGAAGGCGTGGACCCCAGCACTGTGGCACACCTGATGTGCCACTGCTACCATGAGACACAGTCAATGTGATGGAGGGGAAGATGCTTTGTTCTCAGCTTAGCCCTGCTTTGATGTCTCAGGCTGATCTGTGATAAACGTACTGACATCCAAAATGTGCATAACTCAGTCTACGCTGTGGATCCTCATTGTGCCCATGGTGTGGGGCTCCCCTTGGCATCACAACATTTCGGGGTACCAGAGCCCTCAAGTGGGAGGGCCCCATTGTGACTGTGATGGATGTGCTCCACTGTCAACCGGACTGGTGTGGGAGCTGCCAAAGCACACTTCTAAAGTACACTTCTGGATGTGCCTGGGTGGGTCCCAGGACCGTGACCTTGGGTCCACATCTGGTCCTGGCCCCTTCCTCTCTGGAAATGTTTCCCTCTCTGCTTCCCAGGCAACATGAATTGAGTATCTTTATTCCTCCATACCCTTCAGCCATGATGTTCCTTCCTTGGACCCTGAGTCTCCTGAACCATAAGCCAAATTAAACTTCTACTCTTTTAAATTGTAGGTGTTGGGTATTTTGTCCAGCAATGGGAAAGCCAATACAACGATAAACTCACCAATGTCAAGGACCCTCTGCTTGGCTGTATGCTGCCGGGAGTGCCAGTACTTCCAGTATTTCAGCTGCTCGTCTCGGTTTTTGTCCTCACTGAAGACCACCATCACCACGCTCTGCAGAGGGGAGAACAGGGATGTTTATTCTCTGCCAAGAGCTTCTGTGGTCAGATGGTTCTGGAAGTTCTTCTGCAGCCAAATTCTCTAATGTGGCTTTTCTCGCTTAAAGAAAGCCCAGATGAGCTCAGCTATATGGCTGTCTTTGTTTTAAAGTGTGGGGATACTATTGAGAATGGAGTGGAGATAATTCGGAAATGAAAACAGCACAGAGAAAAAAAATCCTGTATCAGTTTTACGAGGAGATAAACACTCAGATGAACCAGTTGCCCCAAATTAACTGTTTTGTAAAGTTAACCAAAACATCAAAAAAAAATCCTTTTCATGTTGAAAATAACATGTTTTTGAAATTTTATGTCCTTAAACAAAGAATTTAGCACCATTTGTAAAAAAGCAAACATCTGCTCTGGGCCTAATGAAGAGCCTGGGGCTAGAATAGGGGTAATGAGAGGAATGCTAAGGAAATGAGGGAAATGGTAAAAGATGAATTCAGATTGATGAACAAAGATTTAAACTACAGATATTTCACATACCAAAAAAGTACGAGGGCAACTACGTTATCTATTTAAATATAATGTGGATATAAAAATGAACTTGAAAAACTAATTGTTTTGGAAAATAAGAATCCACAACCTCTTTGATTCTAAATTGCCAACAGCTTCATTAAACTAAATACACGTAAATTCAGTGTCATTTAAGAAAGGGAGGCAGTGTCAAAAGGAAGCAAAGAAGTTGGTAGTGACAGCACCAGGAATACGGCTCCTCGAATTCCAACACTTTCTGACCATCCCGCAAGAAGACCTCATCCACTGTCATTCCTGAAGACTTCTCCCGCTATAGCAATTTCACACATGTAGTCATTTACTTATTTAGCTCCACAGCCAGTGGCAACGTCTTCCCATTGATTCTGAGCTCAACAAGGGACAAGGTCCCCTGTTCAGCAGAGTGGGCCCGGAGTATAAGGAATAATAGCAACTTCATGCTGGTGGCTGGCTGTCGATTCAAAACCTGGCTCCTTCCTAATTGACATGTGTACACTTTTTATACAAGATAACAGATGGTAGTTAGAAAAGTGACTGTAGCAAAGTGTGTCCATGTTACTGGAATGCAGAGGCAGCAGGTCTCCAAAGACATGGGTTAGTGGCAAAGAAGGGAGCCAGCTTCTGCTGCTGGGGCTTCCAGCTCAGCCACTCTTCCCTCTTCTCTTCTCTCACCCACTGTCTCAAACCTTCCACTCGTATGTAAACATATGCCAAGTGGCTTGTGTTTATTTCTACCCTAAATAAAAATAACACCTTTTTTTAATTTAAGAGAGTTGGGTTCAGGAGTCTGATGGGCTGGAACACATCCCAGGTTCCTATAAGGTTGACCACTTGCTAGCTTCTGAAAACCCAAGTTTCCTTATCAGTAACATCATAATAACGCAGTGCCTTTTACATGGGGCTGTTGCTCGCTGCAGTTAACTGAGCTAGGCAGAGTCTGACACAGTGCCTGGCACACTGCAGGACTCGCTAAGCATGGGTTGTTATGCTGTAAACCCTCACAGTGTCACAGTATACCCTCTGCTGCGGGTTCCACCATGGGCTTGGAACTAATTCTGAGTCACAGCCAACCAGCCCCTCCCAAGCCACAGCGGCTCAGGCTCCAGCAGGACCTTGGCCCCCTGTGGTGTAAGCTGGGGCTGTGCTGCGCTCCAACTCGCCACAGTGCCCCACACCACACGTTCCACAGGGCTCGGAGGGAAGCAGCCAGGGAGAAGTAAGGCAGGCTGGGTACCATGGCTATGGCAGCAGGAAGCATTTTATAACGGGCCAGGAAGGGCCTCTACAATGGACCGGGAAAATCCTTCAAACTCTTCTCAGAGCTGGGCTAGGATTTTCCTTCTCAGCAGAGGGATCACGAATGCCCGCCCTCCTCGGCAGCAGCGAGCAGGTCAGAAACTGGCAGGCTTCCAGACCGTGAGCTCAGCTCCAGTTCCATTTCCCACCAACAGGAATGATGCCTGCAAGTGACTCCCAGTGGGGACCACACCTCATCCCGAGCCCCGAGTATGGCCTGGGCTACAGAAAACTAAACGAAGCTGCAAAAGGACAGGCTCAGAACAGGTGGCTTTCTCCTTTACACAGAGCAAGGGCTCCCTCTCACCCACAACATGGCCCGATGTCCAGCTGTTTGTGGGAAAAATTAAGATCAGTTGAAATCAACAACTGTGCAGCAGGGAGGTGGTGAATGGAGCCAGGAAAATTCCTTGGGCCCAGTCAGAAGGCACGCTCAACCACGCTGCTGCCCTGGGGTTTATTGGTTACCGATTAATGTGATAAACTACAAGCCAGTACTTCGTCTTGTTCCAAACTCTCGGACATTTGTTCTGGAGTTATTTATTTTGGAATTTTCTCCCATGCCATTCCACAAGGCTGTGAGGTAGCAATTCCATGCATCCGATCCTGGGCTACTTTATCCTTCGAATGCAGCCGTACCCTGACTTTGCTGATGGGATGTCGGAAGCACTTATTGTCCCCGGTCTCGCTGAGTGTGATGGCATAGAACTGTCCTTTGTTGAGGTAGGTCATGGGGCCCTCCCCCTGCTTCTGGCGGAGGGATTTGGTGGCTTCCAGGGTGTACTGAAATGTGCCACTGTGAACAGAAAACAAACAGTGGTCAGAGTCACGTGCGTGGACATCTCTGCCTTCCTGACCTGTCACATCAATAGCATTTTGTATGAATATTAACCAATGTTTACTATATTTTAGAGACACAACACAGCATATGGCAAAAGAGATGAGGCCAGACCAAAGGTCATCGCTACTACAATGCATACAACATTTCTAATAGTGGCCCATAAACCAGATGGTTCAGAAGGGGAGAAAGTCCACGATGCGTGTGGCCGTGTGTGGTTTGAGCAGAGCACACTGGCAGGTCTCAGCGGTACTCGAGTGCAGCCTGAAGCTTACAAACTGATAACCTCTGCCAGATGTGAGTGCTTCTGTCCAGCCTGGGACACCTAACTTTCTTTTCTTCTTCTTCAATTTTTATTCATGATAGCTAACTACCTTTTTATCAAGATGTTGCAGATACCCATATCTCAATTAAAAATATTTCAGAATGTGAAAAACCAAAACTACATTCACTACCGAGAATCTAGTTCCCTAACGGGAGAGCTGTTTTTGTTTGTCCACTTGGTTTTGTCTTTTGTGTCTGGTTTTTATGCCTGCAGAAGAACTCAAGACACATCTGCTGTAAATCAAGGGGGTTGCAAATGATGGTTAGGGATTCAAAGCCAGCTCACTGGCTGTTTTTGTAAATAAAGTTTTATTGGCACAAAGCTTCAGTCCTTTGTGTATGTACTGGATGTGACTGCTTCTGTGCTATAACAGCAGGGTTTGGTGGTTGTCATAGAGACTACAGGCTGCTAAATCTAAAATGCTCACTGTAGCTCATTACAGGACAAGTTTATAGTCTTGCTCAAAATAGTTTCCCTAGCATTTAAAAAATATGACATGATTCACGAAACAGAAACACTGAATATTCCCAACCTTGAATATTAACTGTTTAAAATGAACACAATAGGCATGAGCCACAGTCTTGTTTTGCTTAATACATCTGTTCAAATAAAACTTATTTCTATGGATATGGTCAAAACACATTATGCACATTGAAGCCAAAAAAGAAAAAGAAAATGTGCAGATGGGGGAGGGCAGGCCAAGGGGATGAAGAGGGATGCGGAGGATCCAAGTATGTTATGTGAACCCACAAATCTTCCAAAGTGAAACCCATTAGTCTGTAAAACCAACATGCACTTCTGAAATATGTTAAAGAACAAAAATCTTATTCTGACACAGTGCAGGCTGGCCGTGGGAGACCCCATAAGGAGCACTGTACTTTCTGACCCGTCAGACCCCCACCTTTCAGCTCTTCAGTCTGTCACCCTCAGAAGGCTAGGAGCAAAGACTGCTCAATGCTTTGTCTCTTAAAACAGCCTATTTATGGGATGAGGGGCTCCACTTTCCCCATCAGGCCTTCTGTAAGGTTTTATAATAAGAAATCATTCTGAGGGACAAACTATTTCTCATGCATGATAAAAATCTGAGGTGTAAGCTGGTAAACTAAGCAAATTCCACAAACAGCGTCTTAGAAGAAGATGGGAAATGATTCACAACTGGACAAATTCTGGTGTCATTTTGCCAAAAAAAAAAAAAAAAAAAGCAATTGTGTTGTGTAGTCCTGCTGAATGATGAAATTTTACATCAGGGCAGGATATTAAGAGTCACCTAGAGGGCCGGGGATTTAGCTCAGTGGTTCTGCCGCCTGCCTTGCAAGCACAAGGACCCGAGTTCGATCTCCGGTACCAAAAAAAAAAGAATCACCTAGACCAGTAGCTTGCACTTCATCTACACCAAGGCCAAAATGTGAAGGAAGCTGGGAACACTTTTCTCAGGAATGGGCACACAAGATGCTTCTGTTTGTGGGACTGCCACGTCCCCTAAGCCTGCACAGCCTGGCCTGAGAGGCCAGGGGTCTCCCCGCCTGCCCGCCCTCGTGTAGCCTCAGGACGTGTGAGAGCTCTGCTCATCCTCAGTGCATGGGCAGGGAGAAGCTGAGAAGCTGCCTGTGATGGGTGGGGCCCGCTGCTCCCGACCACCCACAGTGGGTCACGTTATGCCCTGGAACTGTGACACGGAGCATTCTCACATTTTATTTCATCTTATTTTTGTAGTAGAAACTTCTTTTTTTCATGTTTTAAATTTATTCACCCATGTTTGCCGTCATAACTTTTACATTCCTTGTGTGGAGTTGGCATCTGCACATAATGCATCTCAATTCCTTTTGCATCCCCTCCCTTCCCCTCTGTGGTCCCTCCCTCCCCCTCTGTGGTCCCTCCCTCCATCTCTTGAACCTCTGCCATTTGAGAAAGATCTCTCTTCCTACTTCCTATTATCTATATTTTATTTTGCTCTTTATTTATACCTTGGGTTTCTCATGTAAGAGAAACCATGTAATACCCAAGCTTGTGTGTCTGATTTATTTTATTTAACATTATGGCCTCAAGGTGCATCCATTTTCCTACAAATGACTCAAGTGTGCCCTTCTTTATAGCAGAGTAGTGCTCCACTGTGTGTAAATACCACATATTCTAGGGCTAGAGATTTAGCTCAGTGGTTTCACCACCTGCTGCGCAAGCGCAAGGACCTGAGTTCAATCCCCGGTACCAAAAATAAAAAAAATAATAATCACATACTCTTTTATTCCCACATTTTAGAAGGCGTAGAAGTTCATTTGCACAGAGAAAAGAATTGAAGGCAAAGGAAATCGGATTTTCCTAATGAAAGTCCACAAAGAGAAAAGGAAATTTAAAAAGTTTAAAAGTCTAACTTGAGGGCACAAGGATAGAGTTCTCAGTGAAAATGAACCTTGGAACCCACCTTGAGGTCTGCTCGTACATGTACTCCTCAGCCCCAACTGAAGCACTCCGAAATTTCTGCAAGATTCAAGTCATCAAATTAAAACAAATAGGTGGGTCATTATCCCCCCCATAAATATCTTGCTTCGCCCTCTCCTTAATAAGGGAAATTGTGTCTTTTTGGCATTATGTTTTCAACTAATGAAACTCATGCATCACAGAACTCACACATCTGCTCCACCTGAGAACCACACTCAACAAAAGCACCTCCGGGCTTTGTGTGTTATTCACACACCTGCAAGAGTTACCCAAGTCTGGAGGTGCTAGATAGTGATTCTTCAGACATATGAACATCTCTCTATTTTCTGTCATCTCCAACATTTACTTCAAATGTAACAAATTCTGCAATAATTAAAGAGGCCACATGGCACAGCAGAAGCAAGACAGAAGAGTGGGAGAAGCACAGTACATAATGCAAGACTACCAAGAGCAGTGGTGGCAAACCTATTGCATGCGTGCCTCAGCAGACTACTTGCCATCATTAAAAGCTCTACAAGGTTCGCCATCACTGGTTAGGGTCCAGTGCCAGGTCTTCTCCCTGACAGCTATGTGAAATAAAGCAAATGTGAGGTCTTCTCCGTCTGCCACATAGCTACTTACAGTGATTAGAAGGAGTACACAGGTCAACAAAGTACTAGAGAACAGTGACTGATACACATGAACACAATGTATGTTTATTAAATACTAATAGATAGAAGTAACTGAGCATGTTGTAATATTTTAAGAGTAGGTCTTTGGAGGAAAGTCCAAGCTTAGTATCACACAGGAAGTACTTGAGTCCAGAGCCCTTCAGTTGCATATAAAGTACAAACAGGACATACTGCCCTACATCTCAGAACATTTTCAAAAGGAGATGCCCCCAGCCCTCACTCACTCTTGACCCTAAGTGAACAGAGTAGAACACTTGGCTGGACACACACAGAGCTCCTTCCCTTATATCTCTTTCTAAGAAACCACCTTCCTGCCTCTCACAACAGAATATTAACTTCCATTCCTTGTCCAGAATTCCGAGGGCTTATCATGGATTCTATGCACACATTTATGATTCTGCTTATCCACTCTTATTCTTAGGAATCGAGATCTTCCTTCGAAGTTTACCAAGTAAATCCTATGACACAAATCCCTCTGCACAAATATTTCTTCACTGAGTGAATAATCATGATAGAGAATTGCAATTTTTATTTCTTTTACAATCAGTCAATTAGCAGAGCCTCAGTGGACATTTTCTGGGGCTTTACCATCGGCTTTGTACCAGAAGAAATACAGAAATTATAGAAATGGCTCTAGCCTCAGAGAGATAAAAATTGGTGGAGGGACAGAGTAAATTCATATGAAAAGTAACAACAAAATAAACTAAAATATAGCAAAGAACTGTGTGTGAAAGTCTATGTTGAATCATTCACTTATTCATCCATTAATTCATGTGTCCTTATAAGAAAAGCACAGAATATGCAATTCTAGGAAAGGAAGGTAAGCACAATTATAGGGATATTTCATAGTCTCAGAGCTTCTTTCTGACTCCAAAGGAGAACATGTGTTGACTGACAGGACTGAGAGGAAGTACTTTGATGGGAAAAGCCAAGGCAAAGCGGTGGGTATAAAGGTGGTAGGGTCCATGGGGCCAAGGACACAGCCTGGCCTAAGTCTAGGTCTCAGCTGCTCAATGTAGTAGCCACTAATCTTATGCGCTATTTAAGCTTATTCTGATTAGAACCGAATAGTTAAATATTGAATTCCTCAGCCAACTAGCCACATCTCAATACTAAATTGCCATGTGTGGCCAATGGATACCATATGGGATGGCACAAAATTTCCACTGTTGCAAAAAGTTCTATTCAACAGAGATGAGTTATAGTTAGAAACTAGGAACTGTGGAGTAGGAGGCTAGCACAATTTAAACAAAACCATTTAAGAAAATGACTGAGTCTAAAAGGCTTCATCTCCGAGTTCTGAGTTTGAAGGGATGAGCAGTAACCCATTCCCACTATGGTGAATCCACATTGGTAGCCGTGGCCTGAATGAATCGATTGCCCAGGCCATGGAGCTCTGCAGTCTGAGGGAAGGGTGGCCTGCTATACAAGCTGGGCTGTAAACTCTATGGTTCTAATCCCCCAGGAGATGTAAGAAGGCCTGATATCATGAGTGCTCAAACTCATAAAAACTGTCAACTCTACACTGACTACAATACAGAATTCTACAAACAGCTAGTAAATCACAGCCACAAATATTTATTTTTTTCAAGCTAAAACTTTTTCTTTGAGTCTATTACATTATTATATTTTTTGGGTTTGTTTTCTTTTTTTGGTACCGGGGATTGAACTTGGGTCCTTGTGCTTGCAGGGAAGGCAGCGGAACCACTGAGCTAAACCCCCGGCCCTTGGCCGGGGGTTTAGCTCAGTGGTTTCGCTGCCTGCTGCATAAGTGCAAGGACCAGAGTTCAATGCCCGGTACCAAAAAAAATCAAAACATAAACCCCGGCCCTAAGTTTGTATTTTTTAAAAAATTAAGTAGATAGTCCACCCAGAAAATCTCACAATCAGTTTGATAAGACCTGGTCACTTGATGGGTTATAGGGAGCTAAAGAATTCAGTATTAAGAAATTAGTGTCAAATTCCTTGGGTTCTTTTGGCTAGAGTCACAAAGTTTCCATGACTCCTTGGAAACCTTGCAATATTACTTATAGGATGATGAAAGGCATTTAGACAGCAGCACCACTGTACCGTACTGGGATCTGGTGTAATACACCTGTAAGTTCCCTACTCATGTGGACTCAGAAATTGATAGAGTAGCCTTAAAAGACCTGAGACAACAGGTAATAGTAAGCATATTTAAATCTTGGGTGTCAGAATTCTAGCTTTGCTGGAGGTGGGAGAAGAAAACATCTGCTAAAAATACAGCACAAAAAGACGATAGTTATTTACCTGTGGGAAAATCAGATACAGCTGAACAATTCCATGCCTTTCGTGAGCCACCATTTTTTAGGACCAATCACTCATGCATTCACTCTTTCAATAAACAAATACTGAATATCTGCTGTATACCAGCCACTCTGCTAGGTGTGACAGGTACTGTGGAACAGAAAGAGAAGAGGTCCCTGCGTTCAGGAATCCTTTGGTCTAGTGGAGAAAAGCATTAATCAAGCAATCCTTCACTTAAAAAATTTACAAACTGAGCACTTCAAAGAAGACAGAGCTCAGGGCGACCAACACCACCGGGGGAGGGCAAGACTCCCAGTGGCACACGGACAAGGCCACAGGAGATAAGCAGTGATCCAGCAGAACCCAGAGGACAGCAACACAGCATGAGAGTGGGCAGCATCCCTCCTCGCCCCTGCAAAAGCATCCTCATCCCAACTTCTGAACATGATTACTGAGATACCCACTTTGGACGGGGAATACTGCAGCTTGAACCCAGGGCCTCTGCGTGGAGCTCCACACCCAGGCCAGTTTCTGAGCGCCTCTGCACCTTGACAGGGTCCAGCCCAAACTGTCTTCTCCCTTCCTACCACTTCATAAATGCTACAGAGAATAGGCTGCAAATGGAGAATGAAATCTGCTAACGCAACAAGGCTTCCAGACATTGTCACACTTTGCCTAAAAGAAGCACTAGACTTCAGACAAATTTCCCTGAGGAAATTTCCTTGGGCCAAGGACTTCAAACCCCTTTATAAGACCAACTGGCAACAAAATGTCTAAAGATCATTATAGCTCATTCAATTTAATTTCCATCAGTCTAAAATAAAATCTGCAAAGTAAATAATGATTTCCAAGATTCAAAGAACAGCTCAACCGAAATTGGTGAGGAGCCCCTTGACACTTACTTTCTGGTAATTTTGTTTCTCACGGATGCCAAAGTAAAGCCCTCAATACAACAGCTTCCTTTCACAAGCTTCTTTACCTACAACACCCATGTAACTGATAACATGCCCTCCAAGCAGAATGGCGGTTCCATTGACGTTGGACCTTTCTGTGATTCACCAACTAACTCTACAAAGTGTGAGAAAACACATCAACAACGAGTCTTTGGCGAAAAAGCATTTTGCTCATGGAATTACCTGCTTTTTCCTACAGAAGCATCCCTCACCACTTGGGGGAAAATCAAATATTCAACAATATCAAAAGCTCTACAAGATCCCTTACCTTTGTTTAAAAAGTTTCTTAATTATTTTAAGCAATACAACAGAGGTAACTAATTATAAGGCTTTTTATCTTTTTAGTATGAGGACATTACAAGTTCAGTTGTCAAGCCACCAAACCCTAAGAAGTATGATAGCCTCCTAGGGGCCGGAAACTTCTCTTGTCTACCTCAGGTCGGTCCCCAAAGTCAGAGCACATACCGGTGTTGTGGTGGCAGGGCTGCTACAGCCCCAGGGAGATACCAGCTCCCACCAGTGCTGCCTAGAGCTAGCAGGGCTATTGCCAACCTGTTGTACCTCTTCTCTCAGCTGAAAGAAGTCTCTATTGAGACAGGTAAAGGACACTCAGATTTTAAATAAACACTCAAGTGAGTCACTGTCACAAGCGATGGAATTAGAAAGTCGTGCGGTCTGCTGTGAGTGTAGAGGTGAAGGTTATGGATCTGGGTGCTGGAGCAGACAGCATGGGTCAACTTCCCTCACTCCCTCTTGCTGATGAATGACTGTATCGTATGTTCTCTGCCAGTTTCCTTATTAAGAAAGCAGGGGTGACGAGAACAGCACTGACTGCACAGGGTTCTTGGTATACAGGACGTAGATCCATGCTGCTGTGGCCTGCACATGCTGTCCAATGTTCCTGTGTTGGAAACAACCCTTAGTGCCACAGCTTGGACAGGTGGGACATCTGAGAGGGGAATAGGCCATGAGAGCCGCCCTCGTGGGTGGACTGACATCTTCGTAAGTTGTGGGTTCTTACTGAGGGAGTGGGTTCTCTATTGTAAGAGAGAGTTCGCTAGAAAAACAAACAGCACTCTGTCGCATGTGTGTACCATTTGCCCTACCATCTTCCCTCCTTGGACCCTGCCACAAGAGGGCCTCAGCAGATGTGGCTCCCTGATCCTGAGCTTCTGGGCCCCAACAGTGAGTCGAATACACTTCTGTTCAGTAGAAACGACCCAGTCTCAGCTATTCTGTTACTGTGGCACAAATGGACTAAGATAGATGCCTAACACATAGCAAGTACTCATTGAATGTGGATTATTTTTTAGTGTTACTGTTCAGGAATGGAATCTCAACCTCACATAGCTGTATTTTGTCCCGTGGCAACTCAACAGGAAGTTGGCTGAAGGTATCTGGCATGCTGCCGTCACACTTACTCCTCTGCCATTGCCTTTTATTGGTCCATGTCGGCCAAAAATTTGAAAGCCAGTGACTGAAATAGAGTAGAGGCACTGCTCTTTAACAGTGAGGAAGGTGAATTGAACTGATAAAAGCATTCATTACATATTCTAGGTAAAAAATTAGAGAGGTTTACAAACATTCTTTTTTTTCCCAGTACTGGGAATCGAACTGAGGACCTTGCACTTGCCAGGCAGGTGTGGTGCCACTGAGCTAAATCCCCAAAGTTGACCCACAATTACAGTATCGGTGGTTGTTCTAAGAACATCCCAAAACAATTAAATGGGTCCAAGATCATCTTTTCACCTAATGGTGGTGAGCAACTGGATGTCACTGTGAGGAAAAAGGGACCTCAATCCCTACTTCATCCTGTATATAAAAATGTCTCAAAATGAATCAGAACCAATATGTAAGAGGTAAAAATATTTGGAGCCTAAAAATAAAAAACAAATAGGAAAGAAAATCTTTGTAGTCCTGGATTAGGGAAAAACTTAATTCTTTTTTTTTTTTTTTTAATACTGGGAATCAAACTCAGGACCTTGAGCTTGAGAGGCAGGTGTGGTGCCACTGAACTAAATCTCTGGCCCCAAGATTTCTTAAATAATATCCAAAAGCATAAACTATTAAAGACAAAATTGATTAAGTTGTTCTTTGAAATACAATTAAGAAAACAGGAATGGTGCACACCTGTAATTCCAACACTCTGGAAAGCTGTGGCAGGAGGATACCAAGTTCTAGTTCAGCCTAGGCAACTCAGAGATAATGTCTCAAATTTTAAAATTTTTAAAAAGGGCTAGGGAAATAGCTCAGTGGGAATGAGACAGGAAGGTAGGGCATGGCTACAACTGGCTGGGAAGGGAGGCAGGACAAGATCCCAACACATGTGCAGCACAGTTCTTAAAGCCTTGCACATCAATTTGTTGCAAGAACTCGAGGAGGTTTTCAATAGGATGGCTTAAACCTGATGTCAGCTTGAGGAGTGGATGACACAAAAAGGACAGACCACATTTGAGTTTTTGCTAGTACATTCTCTCTTGAACGGTGGCCTGCCTTCATGCTGAACAGTGTACTTCTTTTCTTACTTTTACTTGGTCCAAACTCTGCGTAGCCTGTTTCTTTTCCTATCTCCAGAAAAACTTTGCTACCGTTTGTGCTTCTCTTGACCAATTTTTGGCTGAGGACGGAAAGAGCCTAGAAATCACCTCTAAGCAGAAACACCAGCATCCCAGAACCCAGTAACAGGAAGGCCCTTGGTTCAATCTCCAGTACACAATACATAAATAACAAGAAATCAAAAAGGCTACAAGATGCAAAACATATAAGTGATACAAGGCATATATTTGTATCACTTAAAGAGCACTTAGGATTTAATAAAAGAAACGTAAATAACCCAATTTAAAGACTGGGCCAAAGGTTTGAACAAACACTTTGTAAAAGAAGTGATAGGAAGGGCACATGGGTGTATCAATTTTCCTCAATATTAGCAGACATCAGAGAAATGCAAATTCAGACTGACAATATTCAATCCAACAAGGTTTTACAGAGCTATACTGTTTATCAAAGAACGGACAGACAGTATCTTGAGCTACCTACAATTTGGAAGGTTGCAAGCTAGCAGGCACGAAAATCTTACAGAGCGAGAAGTTTCCACATCAACATTTCTTCATTCCTTGCACATATTTAAGGCTAAAACTAAAACAAATGAAGCTATCAGCCAAGAATTCAAAGAAAGAAAAGAGAAAAAAGAGAGAAAGGGGTGGGGGGAGGGGTGAGAAAGAAAAGAGAAAAAAGGAAAAAAGAGAAAAGGAAAGGAAATAAAAATAAGATAGAGGAAAGGAGAAAAGGAAGAAGAGGGAAGGAGAGAAACAGACCAGGCATATTCTTCCACACACATCGCCGCACTTGGAACACCAGACCAAAGCAGCTTCATTCATTCAGTCCACCGAGCGGAAACAGGAAACGGCCCGGTCGGGTGTCGGGAACTCGAATCCGGCCGGAAGCGGGCGCCCTGGCCCGCGGTTCCGCTCGCTCACCTCGGCGGAGCCGTCCTTGAAGCCCTCGCTATAGGTGCTGTCGGGCGTGCTGCGCTGGTCGTCCTTGAGGTAGACGCCGTGCGCGGCCAGGGCGGGCAGGTCGTATTGCGCCTGCTCGAAGATGACCACGCGCTGCTCGTCGCCGTCCCCGCGCGGGTAGTGGCCCGGCGGCGCCATGAAGACGGGCGTGAAGTCCTCAGCCTTGACCACGGCGATGCCGGACACGGGGATGACGGCGGTGCCCTCGGCCGCGAAGGGCTCGCGCTTGTTGTCGGCGGGCTCCTGGCTGAGGCTCAGGTTCACGGGCACCGTCTTCAGCACCTGCACGCGGCTCTCCACGCCCGCGCCGCCCGCGGGCTCCCCGGCGCCCACGCAGCCCCTGCGGGAGACACGTTAGGGACACGGTGGCCGTCGTGCAGGCCCGCGCCGCAGAGCCCCGCGTGCAGAGGGAGCGCGTGGCCTCCTGTCAGGAGCCCAAAGGGTAAGAAAATAAAGGACCAGAGGAAACGCAGGTAGGTCTTGTGCAAAACGGAGGGCGACCAGGACATGGGGCGGGGGGAGGGGGATGTGTCGTGTGCATGCGCCAAAAAAGGTAGAAATTAAAGAGAGCCAATGCAGCCGTCATCCGGGTCCCAAGGCCGTAGGAGAAGGAGTGACTGCACGGAGCGCAGTGGGTATCTTTGCATCACTGGAAGGAGGGCAACCGGCCCCTGGAGCAGACTGTGAAGGGCTCTGCCTGGCTGTGAGGCATTAACAAAACAAAAACAGACAAAAGGCAACAGCGTTGACCTTCATCGTGCCTTTAATGCCTTTAGATCGACCTTTCAACTCAGATCTAGGAGCTGGAGAGTGCCAACCGTCAAGAGCAAGCTGGAAAACCAGAATGCAGCACACCTTGCCTGCATCTCTCAAGTCTAAGGACACAGAAGAAGGAGAAAGAATGGGAGGACTCTTAGAGATTAATGGGAATTTAAAATCTTAACTATCAGATATGATGAGCACATCTGTTTGGATCTGGATTTGAACAAACTGAGAAGAGTGTATGAAGTAACAGATTTTTGAGGTAATTAGATAGGGACTGGGAATCAGTGATACAAAGAAGGTATGGTTAATTGAGCTGTGTGTAATGATGATCTTGAGCTTATGTAACAAAATATGCTTATTTTTTAGACACATGAGAAGATTTTAGAAGTAAAATGATACAATGTCAGGATTTTAAAAAGGAAGGAATGAGGAAAATGGTGGCTATCAGGGAAGTGTGACAAAAGTTTCTCATTGAACTAAAGGAGGAGGTGTTTAGGGTGTTCAGTATACTACACTGTGTGCTTCTATACATGGTTAAAACCTTGCAAAAGCAAGTTTTAAAATACAAGGAAGAAGGGCCGGGGATTTAGCTCAGTGGTTTCGCCACCTGCTGCGCAAGCACAAGGACCCGACTTCAATCCCCAGTACCAAAAAAAACCCCCAAAAAACAAAATACAAAGAAGAGGCATGAGGTAAATGTGATTTGAAGAGGTGGTTAGGAAGGATTATTTTTTATCATTCTGTGGGCTAAGCTCCTTAAAGGCAAAAATAAAAGAATTTATCATAAAAAAATACCTTCACCAAATTGAGATATATCATGAGCTCACAGATTTCCTTAGCGCTGAATTACTTCTGGGGCTTAAGGAAGTAGTGTAACTGGGCTTATGTATAATAAGATCCCCGACCTGGTCACTGGTACAGAAAGAAAGGAGAAGGCTTAGACAGTTACTTCTAGGCAGACTAGAATGCTTTCATCAATACTAAAGAATTCTGGGCCAGAGATTTAGCTCAGTGGTTTCTACGCCTGCTGTGCGCAAGCGCAAGGACCTGAGTTCGATCCCCGGTACCAAAAAAACAAAACCTAAAGAATTCTGGGAAAAAACAGAAGCAGAGAGAAACAGGTTAGTGGGAGGTTACTGTTGATAGAAAAATGATTTTACTAGCAAAGTTCCTCTGGTCATTAAAGGGAGGAGACCTCTCATTTATTAATGGATTATTCTGAGTAATATGGAGAGAAAGTACATGTATTTCATGGATCTTTGTCTCAGATATCTGAAATTTTGTTTTTGTTCTTTTTTTTAATCTAGCGTGTACTGGTACCTCGGTAGACCAGTTTAGTTCTTTCCGTGATTCTGGTTGCAAACTGAATTGGATGATAATGGAATCAAACTTAATCACTAGGTTCAATATTGACCTTATGGAGAAATTTGATTCTGTTCTCGTCCAATTTAGTTTGCAAGCAGAATTGTGGAAAGAATTAAGTTCATGAACTGAGGTACCACTGTACTTTGTGAAACCAATTGAGAGAAATACTTGAATAAGTCTGGGTCTTCCAAGAATTGGGCTTTCCTGGCACCTCTCTTACCTGTCTATCAAGACTTTGTTTTTGTTTTGTTTTGTTTTAGCTTTGATTTTTCCAGATGAAATTTCAGAGCAAAGAATGGCTCTACATGAACAGAAAAATATCTAAATGCCTTTGAGTCTGTCATAGATCTACAGAGATAATTTTAGAAAATTTTCTAAGGTGTAAAATCACAAGTCTACAAACATTTTGGGTTTAAGCAACAACCTGTTTTCATGGTAAAATCAATAAAGCGAATCATATAGAAAACACAGTAGAGACTTAGGAAATTGTGTTTAATCTGAATCAAGTTAGCTGGATGATGCCAAAGCCCAGGCCACCCATTTCCATCAGCATTTCTTAAACCCCATTGTTTAGAACATTGCATGGAATGTTAATAGATGTTCCTTTAAAAAAGAATTCCGTGATAAAATCAGCGTTAAAAGAGAAACAAAAAATATATTTATTGCCACAACAAGACCACCCTGGGTGGCCCCTAGGCATTTCTTCACCTATTTAATTTGTAACCTAGAATTTCCCTCATTTCACTCTTTTGTGGAGGAAAAAAATTCCTAGGATGTATGGATGGTGTCCTGCAGGTGAGGTGCTGATGGTTCATCTGCACTGACTACCAGAGCTGTTGCAAACTTTCTGCTTGCATTTTGCCCAGGCACAGTGGTACTGGCTTTGCCAAAACATTCAAACTTCTTCATAGTCTATTTCAAGCCAAATTTCTTAATTCTTTAATTCATGGAAAACATATGAATTTTAAACAAAGAACAAAAGTCAAAATATCTTTTGATGTTCTTATTAACAAATAAATACACACACTGTACAGTTGTATAAATCCAGTCAAATCATGATTACCAACCATATCACCAGGACATAATAGATTCAGGCACCACAGTATAATATGTAACTGTGCCTGTGTAATCGTATTAGCTTTAGAAGCTGATGCCAGAAAATTTCAGAAAGACATCCAAAAAATGAGTAACTAGAACAAAGTAAGAGTTATTGGGAGGTACTGATTTACCTGCAATAGAACTTAAAATTGAGCCAAATATTATAAGGAGAAATGCCACAGCAAGAATGGTGCACTAAATACACATTTTAAAAACTTGGATCGTGTCTTTGAGAGCCTGTTATTTTTCCAAGTAGCAACTTCTGTATACGAACAGTTACAGTGATGTTGCATTAGCACACAGCACCTTAATTCATGAATGCAATGTGGATCAAAATGACATCCTTCCAAGTTACATTCAGGGAGAAGTCTGCTAAGTCGTAATTAGTCTATACAAGGTGGTTTACTCTATACCTCATTGCCAGTTTTTTAAAATGTGCTCCCTGGAAATCACAGAAGTAACCATTAAAATACAACAAGCAGCTGTTGCTCTGTAATGTTATTCTAAATGATGCATTAACAACAAGGAAGGCTTCTCTTGGCTGTGAGACAGACAGCATGCACAGCTCAGATTCGTTTTGTCCTGACTCCACTTGGATTAGCAGCCTCACAAGCCATTAGTTCACCGCAGCTGGCGGCATGAAAGAAAAGTCAGGAGTCCTGAAGAGTTCCAACCCCAAGTTTCCACTCTTGCCAGTGAGGTCCCAATACCCCAGACAGCATAGAGCTTCAGAAAATCCCTAGCACAGCTCTAATTTTCTGTTGGGACTCTGCCTACCAAGGGCTGCACTGCATAGGGCTGGGGAAGGAAGTGTCCCCGCTGCACAGGAGATCAAAACGTCTAAACAGTTGCTGTCAAGGCCAGGAAGAGTCTAACCTGTGTGCTAGCAGGGGATTTTATTTCTCCTGGCCTCATATTTGCATGTGAAAGACTACAACAGAAAACCCCTGTGGTTTCTCTCACCTCACCACAAGGAAAGAGATTTATTGCAGGGGTCACCTTGGAGCAAGAAGCTGAGCAGAGTGATCAGCCCTTTCTAGTCTTGTTTGGATCATGCTGGCCCAAGAGAAGGATCCTCCAGTCACCCCCCGCTATGCCACTGTGCCCAGGACTCCTGCCCGGGTCTGGATGGGTTACCTAAGTCAGGGTCCAAGGATTACCAGCTGCCAATTCCAGCTAACTTTCTGCACTTGGCTTCATCTAAAATAAAGCTCTTTTTTCCTTTTTTATTTGAGTTTATCTGTGTCTTACCATCTACGAGGTTCTTAATTCAGCAGAGCAGGAAAAGGGGGTGGCACGTAATGATCTCTGAGCATCTTCACTGTCCCTGCTTTTGGCCCTCCTGGCTGCCTCCCTCCTCTGAGAAATAGCCCCTCCTGTCCTCTTCCTTCAGCAAGAGCCATCCTTTCCCTCTTTCATCAAGAGTTATCCTTCTGCTGTCTGACTCTTCCAGGGCCTGATTGCAGTGACAGAGCCATGGGATTGATGAGAAAAATTAATCCCAGCACTGGGCCCCCTGCCAGGCCATTGCCTACAATTCCTGGGACTTTAAGACTCCATGGCTGAGCATCATCTGAGGAGACTGCCCATGACCCTTGCTGCACAACCAAAAAATACAACTTACCATCATTGGTGAGACTCTCAGGACAGAAGAAGCAAAGCTCTGTGACCTCATCTCCTCCCAAGAACAAAACTTAAGAGTTTCATACTGCTGTTCTCACAAACCATCCAAAGGGAGGTATCCTCGAAGCCTGGCCTATTCCTCTCTGGGCAGCTTACCTCTTATCCTGGTCTTCTGGGCTCTCACTTGCTTTGCTTACAGACAGCAGCCTCTTGTCTCGAGGAACCTGGAAACATTACCAGTCATCAGTGGGATGCAGACACAGGCAACAGCAAGCACACGATGAGCTAGATGCCTGCATAAGCAAGGAAATGAAAATGGAAGGATCTCCAGGAAGAGGGGCGAGTTTGTGGTTGTCGGGAGATGGTGAAAATTGAGTACCCTGAGTGAGGATGACATTGCAGCCAGAGACTAAGGCTGGCGACAAACGTACAAGAGGTCACAAAGAAGCACAACCGAGCTGCTGAAGCCACAATGCTGTATGTCCTCACCTTGGGAGCAGATGGAGAAGGAGGAACAGTGCACATGGGGTGGACCTGAACGTGGGTGCCTTTGAGCAGACAGCATCACGGAGTGACAGTGAGTGTCCTTTAAAGGAAGAGGGGCAGATCCTCCTCTCCGATGACTCCAGGTGCGACAGGGGCAGGAAACTGGGCAGGGAGCAGCACTGCCAGCAGCAGGGAAACAAACAGCCAGCAGACCCGCACCACCCTTCAACCCTTGCCTCACAGCTCGTGGGCTTGGCAGCTCATGTTTTCCTGAGGCACTTTCACCGCCGTCTTAACCATCATGCTTCATCATACCTGAGCCCTTGCTGAGAGCTGCTGCCTGAGACAGGGACCTACAGGGGGGCTTCTGACCCCATCCAGTGACCCAGCTGCATCGTGGGTCCTTACTGGGCAGAGTTCCCAGATACACCAGTAGGCGGGTGTGGATTGGTTGGTTTGGTTGGATTTTTTACTTTGTTTTTAATTGTTTGCTAAAGCTTTGGATCTTCCTTTTGAGATGAAAACACACTTATGAGAAGATCCCTCTACAGGACTCTTGGCGCAGTTCCTCTGGCTTCCACTTACCTGAATGCAGATGCAAACAGAGGCTGCTGGACAGGAGGGTGACAGAGAAGGTAGCCAAGAGCCAAGGCCTGGCCCTGACTGCCTGGGTTCGACTTTAGCACTGCACTAACTCACTCCCTCACACTTTCCTCCTCTGTAACCCAGGCTTAGTGATAGCCCAGAGTTGAATTTTAAAGCACTTGGAATATCTAGCTCTTTATGAGTTGAAAAATAAATCAATTGTAAGGTTTTTGTTCATATGTCAATTTTGAGAGTCTGCAGTGTACCAGGCATTGCTAAGTACCAGGCAGAAATGAGGTGAATAAAACACCATCCCTGTTGTGTATTGAAGATGACAGTTAATATAAAGTTTCAATATCCAGTACATCAGTGTTCATTACAGCCTTATTCACAGTAGCCCAAAGGAGGGAATAACCCAGGTGTCCACCAACCAATGAATGGATAAGTGACATGTTGTTTATCCACCCAAGGAAACATTATTTAGTCTTAAAAAGGAATGAAATGCTGACATATGCCTTATTATGGATAAACCTCGAAGACAAAAACATAGATTAAAATAAGCCAGATACAAAAGGATAAGTATATACCCAGAATGTCAGAGAGCACCAGAAGGTAGAACAGAGACGGGAAATTAGTGCCGGATGGGTGCAGAGTCTCAGTTTGGGAGGATGAGAGAGTCCTGGAGGTGGTTGGTAGTGCTGTTTGCGCAGCAGGGTGAGTGAATGTGCACTTAGTGCCACTGAACTGTGCACTTAGAAGTGGCTGAACTGTGCACTTAGAAGTGGCTGAACAGAGGGCCAGGAACGTAGCTCAGTGGTTCCAACGCCTGCCTCATAAGCACAAGATCCCAAGTTCGATCCTCAATACCAAAAAAAAGTGGCTGAAGTGATACATTTGTGTTATGTGCATTTTAAAAGCGATGAGGAGAAAGTAGTGTTTACACACAAGCCTCCATTCCCAGCTCTGCCCCTCTGCGCCCTGCAGTTTACCAGGCAGCCTGCTCAGCCAGCCTGGACCACCCTGGAACCAGCCTTGCTGCTAGCTTACTCCTAAATCAGTTACTCCTAATAGTGTCACAGAAACTCGATCCTCAGTGATGGGAGGTCAGGCTGAGGTAGGATGCCCAGGCTCTGGGGACCCTAAAGGATGGCGCTTCAGAGGAGCTGAGCCGGGGGCAGGAGTTTGTCAGCTGGATGAGGAAGGCTTTATAACCAGAGGGACTGCTTATTTTAAAAATGAGGGCATGACAGAATAGGGAAGTCATTGCTGGGGGAGTGAGATTTGGCCTCAGGGACAGTATTGCGCCTCTCTGTTCCCTTCTGTGCCCCGCTGATGGCACAGCTGCTTTCTCCTTCACTGTCAAGCATCTCTCCCCTTGCAACCAGGGGACCAGCCAGGTCCCCTGGGTCTCCAGGCTCAGCCTCCAGAGGCTCTTGCTGCTGTGAGTCACCTGAGTTGTTGCCCGCATCCTTCCTTCAGTCCACGCCAATCCATTTTTGGATGCCTGAGTGGTCTTGAAATGCACCTCCTCCCATGGACCCAGAAGCCACACGTCCTGTAACCAAGCATTGCTCCTTTTAACAGAGGATCCGCCCTCAACACCCTCTCTGTCTGGGCTTCAAGCCTGCCTCCTGTGCCTTTTCGGTGCTTGCCAGGACCATCTCAAGGCCCATTTAAATTCCTGGATGTACCATGTACAGGAGCAAATTCCCTATGCTGAGTGTTATCATTATGTATGCCGAAAATGTACCAATAAATGTTTTGCTATTAAAAAAATAATAAATTTCTGTGTCCATGAAAAACCTGCAATCTCCATGTGTGTTGACCCTGTGCACGGTTAGATCCCCAGTACCCAGAATGTACTATGCCCTCACTAAATATGGAAAGAATGAACCCATCCATCAAAATGGCCTACAAAGAGCAGAACTAAAGTAGAAGAAACGCATTCTAAACACTAGAACATGTTGGTAATTCCCAAAGATCCATGGAAGTGAAAGTTATTGCTGCCTAGTCACTGATGTGAAGTCACAGTGCTGTAAAACAGTTCCTAACCTTTGGGCTTGCTTCAACCAGGCCTCTCTGAACCAGGTTTACCACTGGCTTTACAAACTGTTCAGAGAAATGGAGACTTTTGAACTCAGTACCCTCTCTTAAGCGCTAGACCCACATCACTGTCTGTCAGGACCCTCTACCTGGATGCCCTACAGCACATCAGACTCAACACAGCAGTATCTCTCTCCCCCAAAGTCTTTCTTCTCTTATCCCTATCTGGATCGGCTGAGAAGCAGCCAGCTGAGACACCTTGCTTTTAGTTGTGGGCTCCCACCACCAATACACACATGCACAAACACACAACCAGTTCTCATTCGAACAAATACTCATTTCTCAAGCATATTTCTTTGTCTATGTGGTGCCTGTTTTGGTGGCTGATTTAGGGAGAAGCTTCATGAATGCTGGCCCGGGAACCTGTTCTCCCACCTTTCCTTCGGGTCTTCATATTTCACCTGGACTGTTGGAATGGCCTGCTCTCTAACTAGACACTTGGCCCCCAGCCTAACTCTCTGCTACTGCTGCTGTACTCTGTATGGATAATTTCCCTCATCTAGAAGGCCTAAGACCCAAATAAATCCCTCAGGAGAGGAACTTCTGGAAAAAGTGGTGGATTGCAAACACTCCCTTTTCTTCTTTCCTGCATTTTCTGTAGTGGATTTGTACAAACTTAAGATGAAAACCTGGTACATCAAAACATCAATTTGCATTCTTTAACACATACAATTTCTATTGGTCAATGAGGCTGAAAAAAGAAAAACAGAAAAGCTCGTTTTAAGAATATTTTTTCAAAGCTTATAGATATTTATCAGATCACTTATTCATTCATTTATTCATTCATTCATTTATCTGTCTTGCAAAAAGTTCACCAGACCATTCACTCTGCTCTGGGAGATAGAGTCCAGTCTCCAGCCTGCCTGGCAAGATTCCAAGACAGAGCTACTTTCTGACCAATTTCAACCCCCTCACTTGCCAGCCCTGGTTCAGCAGTCCTGATCACTTGGTCTCACTGAGTGCAGTCCAAGGTTTTATACCCTATGTGCTCTCCTCTCCATCTCCTTTTACTTGACATGTTCTCTGCTCCCCTGTCCACCAGACAGACTCTCCCCTGCTCCTGGTAGAGAAGGCATTCCTTGCTCTAGAAACCTTGTGGAGTCTCCAGAAGTTGCCAGTCAATGTACTGCTCCTGGAACACACCCTTTTACACACTTACCTCCAGGTCTTGTGTTTACAGGTTTATTGGACCTGTTTGTCCTGGACTATGACTCTCTGACTTTGCTGAGGTTTTGCAATCTGCCTTTGGGTATTCAGTCCATCCCATAATGGCCATCACCATTGCTGGGAAATTATAGCTAACTACTGAATATTTGTTGAATGGTTGAATGGATGGATGGATAGATAACCCAAAAACTGCTTTCCAACAATAGCAGGTCAAGAGAAGGGATAGGAGCCAACCACCAAGAGAAACACAGTTTCATTAGGGCTGGAACCAGATGATTACAAACCACAAACTCTCTCAAGGGAAAAAAAAATCAAGTGAGATTAAATGAGATGCTGTGGTTTTAATGTGTCACCCAGAAGTTCACATGTTGGAAACTTACTCTTCAAATTCATGTTCGTGGTGTTTGGAGGTAGAATCCTTGGGAAGTAGTCAAGATTAGATTACTACATGAAGATGGGCCCCAGTGGCAACATTAATGACTTTACAAGAGGAAGAGAGGCCCAACGTGGAACACTTGCTGTGTGATGTCCTTTACCACGTCATGATGAAGTCAGAAGGAGGCCTTCACTGACGAGGTACGGTGGTACCTCGGTTCAGAAACTTAATTCATTCCACGATTCTAGGGAGAGGGACACATTTGTGTCACCCGATGCGAAGTTGACAATTGGAAGCAAAATTCTGCCGATCACTTCTGTTTGCAAAACAAACTGTTCCTGAACAGAAGCATTTGTGAACTGAGGTACCACTGTACAGTACCATCCTATTAGACCTTTCAGCCTGCAGAATCATGAGCTAAACAAATCTCTATTCATTATAAATTCCCACACTGTGGCATCCAGTCACAGTGACAGAAACAGACTAAGACATAAGTCAAACCACTTTTTAAATAATATAACAAATTAAACATGGCGTGCTTTTCTATCATGAGCAGAATTCATGGGAAGGTCACACTTTGGAATTGCCATTGGTAAGTAACCTCAACTAGATAGAGAACTGTGATCGAATTTTGATCCCTCAGATTATGAGAGAATCTATAAATGTGTCTTTTAAAATAAATATCATTTAATTAGCAAACAACATACTTCACCTGCATATTTTGAAAACCAAAACCTTTTCCAAATGGGCTCAAAGAAGACATTTTTTTAAGAATAGTAGATACTGTAATGAAAGGGGTATTAGGAAACAGGTTTGTCCCACAAAATCCCATTTGGTTTTCTGAACTGTAAAATCTAAAGCATAATGAGTTCCCTGATCTTGTGGTGACAGTTAACAATGCAGGTGAAAAGACTTCAGAGTTGATGAAGAACTGTATAAAGATGTGCCTTTGTCAGTTTGTAAGGACAGGGGCCACCATTCCTTGTGGCACAGACTCCTCTCTGTGACACAGCACACTAAGGTCCCTTCGGGGTTGATGAACACCAACCGCAGAATTGAGGAAAGATGGCATTGTGTCAAAAAGGATCAATTCCCACTTCCAAAGAGGTATGACAGCTCTGTAAAATTTAAATTACAGTATGACAGCCATTGTTACAATAACTTCCCAAAGTTTATACTCAAAAAAGAAAAATCACTTTTTCATTAACATATCACCTTGTTTCAGAAAAAACATCTACACAAGGCATTTAGCATCATTGCAACTCTCACCCCAGCATATATAACCTGTGAATGTCCAGAGAACTGCAAAGGCCTCAGACTAATCATTTGATCATTGTCCTTTTGGAAATGACCAATTTTTCACATAGGCCCTAAAGTGTTTCAAACAAAAAGATAGCAATTCTTTTGTGAAACAGGAGCCATTTAACTCTACTGGTCTTGGAATTAACAACACAGACTTGTACACTAGGCTACAATTCAGGTTTTATGTAAAGTTCCTACATTGCATCTCAAAATATTTACAGAATGTAATATTTCAACTTTCCTTGAAATGGTAGCAAATGTGCAAGAGGGGAAGTAATCTAGGTACTGTATCTCAGTACTTTATTATCCTATTTACTAATACAAATCGTCTGAACCTACGGGAGATAAATACATGGCTTTTGTACATACTAATTTTGTTTCAGAGTGGTTTTTTTACTAATCAGAAAATGCCATCAAATACAGATATCAGAAAGTATGTTCATTTTGCAATAGAATAACATCTATTTTTAAAGATTAGATCAATATATTTCTTCTAAAGATATCAATATATTTCTTTAAAGCCAAATTAAAACCATTAATTGACATGTTAATTTAACATAAAAGGAAAAGAAATTGTGATCAATAAATCAGGGTCACTTTATAATACGGTAATAGATTTTTTAAATTAATTATTTTTCTCTCATCAAGGAAACTGACTTTCCAATTTCTTTCTAAAGATAAGACCAAAAACAGCTGAGCCTTTTTTTGACCCCAGGCAATCCAATCTGACAAATTCTGTTCTGTGCCATCCTTAGTAATTTTGAATACGTTCACCCCAAAGCATTTAGGATTTATCCTGTGGCTTTCAAATGCGATCCTCAGTCAGAAAGGATTTACAATATAAAGCAACCATCAACAGGAAAGAAGAAAGAGCCTACTACCACCACGAAACTCTTAGTTTTCTGGCTTATTTTTTTCAGGTGTAAGCCACTCCTTCACCAGTGAGACGTCATTTCGGCCCTCAAGCACCCTTTCATTTGGACTCTTCACTCCCCAAAGTGAAAGTCCCTTCTTGCTGCGTCAAGAGTCACATTGGAAGTTTTATATCTTCATCAAAGGGCTGTTGACCTTTGCCAAATCTGGCTCTCTGGATAAGGCAGGAAAGTCAGCCCAGCCCAGCAAAGGTCCCCCCATTTGGAGGTTCGCCAGCACTTCCTAACAAGAAGTGATGTGTTTATTTGAGTCCATAACATTCTCACTTAAAATACCCCGGCTGGGCCTACCTGTTATCCCTCACACCTGTCAATCACACCTTGCCCCTCATCTTAGATAAGACAATAGGAAGCAAAAGCCACATTCATTAAAAGGGAAATTGTTTTGTCTTGGGCTTTTGCCCAATGCTGAGTTTTCCATGCTGGAAGGAGAAGGGAAAATGAGATTCATTTCTTACTGATACCGAAGTAAGGGTTCCTGGGCCTCGCCTGGCAACATGGGCATCTCGCCCTCAGGCCAAGTCCTAGCACACGTCAAAAGTATTCACAACCAGCGCAAGTCTTCATCTCCTCATTCCATAAATACATATTGAGTTTTCACACTTCAGCAGTTCGAAGGGGAGGCCACACCAAGCGTGGGCCTTTATCCTTGAGCCAGACTGTTGTTTCTTGCTTGATTTCCTGCAGTACTCTCTTTTCAAGTACTGTATGGCAGGTGTTTTTCTTTCTAATGTTACATTCAATTTACTTCAGGGCTTTTCAAAATAAAAATTTAGTGCCCCTTGAAACAAATGGAGACTGCAGGTAGAAACTGCTGCAAGTCTTCCACTAAAGTGTTCATGGAACAGTCTCTATAAAATGGAGAACTCTAGAGTACCTAAATGCTTCTTATAAAATTGAAAAGTTTAGAGGCAACCTAAATACCCAGCAAGTAAGCAATAGCTGAAGTATGGTACACCCACACCCAAAATCATAGCCATAAAGTAGAGGTGACATCAAGGAAGCATTGGTATTAGGGCGTTAAGTAAGGTTCATATGTAAATAATGTTTTTGCATGGAAATAAAGGACACAGAAAATAACCATCCCAAACCAAAACTTCCTTTCAGAGAGTGAAGTTGGGCTTCAAGGACAGAGAGGCAGGGAGCAGGCAGACGGCCGGCCGGCAGTACCCACCTTGTAGTAGTCATAGAGCAGGCCAAGGGCAGCAGCACTGTCCTCGTCACCATTGATGCTCATCATGGCCTTGGTGGCTGCTGTCAGAGGGTTCTCCAGGTACGACTTCCAGGCTTCATCCTCGCTGGTGTAAGCCCTTCGGGTGTTGAACGGAGGGTCACTGGGCATTGGCACTAAGGCCACGAGTCTTTTATTACTGTGAAAGTGAAAGAAATGCAAGGTTTATTACCAGGGGATTTTCCTTTGTCCCACAAATAATGCACACTTTACGAAGCTGGGAGTGGTGGCACATCTGTCATGCCAGCACTCAGGAGGCTGAGGCAGGAAGATAGGCATGAGTTGGAGCTCAGCCTTGAGTGCATAGTAGGTTCAAGGCCAGCCTGAACTACACAGCAAGATCCTGTCTCAAAACGAACAAAAAATCCACTTTACCTGATTCCTAGCATCGATTTGTAGTTCCCAGAATGGAGGAGAAGGAAGAGGAAATTAAAACTAAAGTGACTGTCACATTGCACTTAGAAAACCACTGATTTATTTTTTCACCATCTAAGAAATTAATAGTAGTATTTTAAAAGTAGTATAAGTAGCATACATTGGTCCCCTTCAAACTTGGTTTTCTATAGCAAACCATTCCAAGTAATTTTATTTCATTCTTCTTCACTGATGAGTACTAGAACACAACCTGAGGTTTCATTCAGCTGAGTTCTAATTATAAGTGCACAACATTGAATGTAATCAATATGTTAATAGTTATTAAAATTGTATTTAGCTTCTGCTTGGAAGCACTAGCAAATCTGAGTCTCTTAACTTCAAAAGGCAATATAAGCTACTTGGCAAACACGATGTCTCCCATCAGATAATGCTGCATTACAAGGCTGTGGAGCAAGAGTGATGAGGTGGACGCTGACTCCTCTCGGTACGAACAGGGTTTGGCCTCTGTCTAGACCCCCAAGAAGCTCTAGGCAATAAAGCCTGTATGGAAAAAGAGGCACACATCTGGAGAATGTGCGGGAGGGACAGAACGGGCTGTGGTAAGCAGCACAGGCCGAGGAAGGCCGTGTTGTCACGTGGGCATGATAGTGACCTAAGGACCCAGGGACCATGACAGTCCTTGGCTGAGAACCAAGAGGTCGAGGAAAAGAGCCTCGAGAAGCTTTTCCTGACCCTTTTGCGTGTTCGTTGAAACGGAACCAAAATGGAACAATGAGACGTAGTGTGTGAGGAACACCTGGGCTGGCACACGGAAGCCCAACATGGACAAGTGACAGGATCGTGACCACAACACCAGCAGTGGGCCAAGGGAGCATGGCACCAAGCCCCTCTGACGCTCTTTTGGGAGCTTCCAGTGTAGCTGCGAACCGGCAGGGACCCTCAGCGAAGAGTGTGGGGAAGGCCCTGTGTGTGGTGGGTGGGGCCAGCAGGCTGTCAGTGCAGAGAATCACACCGGTGTCGTTAAGAGATTTGCCGTGGGAAATGTATATTTAGCAGAACAGAATTCTAGGCTAGATGGTCTTTAGGCCTCTGGCTTGAGCTCTTTGTGCCAGTGGTTTGGTGGAACTGATTAGGAGGAAAGAGAGAAGATTGACCCAATTGCAAATGAATTGGATTAAAAGTACAATCAGGTTTCTCGGAGTAAATGAGAAAAGCCCCGATCAAAGGGCTCACTAACCACTGACAGTGTGGTGCCACAGAGTGGCACAGGCCTTGCAAGTGAATCCCTGCTCTGTCTCCTACAGTGGAGGAAGCTGCTTCAGTTTTGCCTGCCTTAGGTGGGGATAACAATGCCCAGTGCACTTTCCTCCCATGTGTTTGTGAGATCAAATAAGACAGTGGATAAAAAAAGGGCCCCAGAAGCTGCACAGTGCTATGCAAGTAACAGGCATGCCTACCACCGCACAGTTCTGTGTTCCTGCAAAGTTTGTGTGCACATCAACTTTTAGCAAAATTGGCTCTCATTTAAAAGTGCTAAAGATAATCATTAACTAAAGGGAACCAGAGTTGTTCATTTAGCGGTGATCCATAAATGTTTACTGAGAGCCCAACAGGTGGCAGACGGTGAATGTGGGGAGTTGAAGGAGACAGACACTGTCCCTGACCCCACATCGCCAGAGACAGAGCCACCCCTCCCAGACAGGGCTGGCCGGTAACCTGCACACTGAGGCCTTCTGCATGCATCTGCAGGGGAAGGCATGCCGGTCAGTGCTGAGATGGGGGGATGTGGGACTGCTGAAGGGAAGAGTGTATGTGGTAGTACAGAATAACAAAGATTTCTTACAAAGGAGCACATTTTTATTCATTTTGGAGAGACTGCTGGAAAGATTTACACATTTTAATCTGAAGGTGAAACAGCATCTCCATGTTGCACACAATTGCAAATCACATAGGATAGGAGTGGATGTGCGAAGAGGAAAATGGTGGGCTCCTAAGAATCTCTAGGCAGAAGAAATGAGGCCTCTGGGGAGAGGCAAGGAGGGGCGGGAGTCCCAGATTAAAGGTCCTACCGTCCCCTCTCCAGAGTCATTTAGTTGGGGTCACCTTGGTACTGGTCTACACCCTTCATTTAGAGAGTGGAATGGGCTTCTGGACCCCACTGGCTGCCCACAAGGCCCAGGTCATCATGCATACTTCCTCAAACACCCAGTTCTACAGAGGATCCAGGTTTTATGAAAAGACCCAGATTCAAACTCCAAAGCATGGCTTCCACCAAGTGTGCATTGCTTTTGCATCATCATAAAGACAAAAGATCATACATCAAACCTCCTGTAACTTGAGAACCTGAAAGAGATGAGGATTTTGCTTTTTTCCATGTCTGAGAAGTACTTCGGGGAGAAAGGAGCTATTAATTACACACTGGCAAGTTCCCAGGAGTTAGCAGGAAGCCCAGGCTGAGGGATCACAGCCAAGTCTTGATTTCCACTGAGTGGTGTCCTGATTCACTGGAGAGATTGTTCCTGAGTCTTCCTCAGAATCTCGACTCCCTCTTGCTGTGTCTCCCAGATTGCTGGCTCCGTCTGTTCCGGGTACAGATGTTCATCCATGCATCTAGGAGAGTTCATCAGCCTTTCCCCGAAGATGCACCCTGGATGAACCTTCACATAATACACAGAAAGAAAGGTTCTGGGAAATCATAATTTTACTGGCCATTTCTTTTCACACTTATGGTGGCCCCATAGGGCTTTTTATGCCTTTCCCTTTAATGATGTAATGGTTTTGGATATTTTCTTCCATTGTAATCTCTCTGGTACAGAGCACTGTTGAATGAAGTTTGGTTTAATAAAAACAAAATAATCTCTGTTGTACTCTGAGCAAAAATGTAGACCTGAAAAGAAAGAATAGCTTCACAGAGCAGCTTTTGCTCTTTCTCAAGCTAAGTTTTATCATCCCTGGTCGGGAACAACAGTTCTACTTCTGCTTTGTCTCTTAGCTTCAGGTGTGCTACATTCTGTGTAGCCCTGAACACAGAACTGTGAACAACTGGAAACTTGATCCCTGGGTCCTTCTTTGGAGAAATATATAGATGAGTGCTACAGAAGTCACAGCAAGGCTAAGGCTTTGTTAGATCACACACACACACACACACACACACACACACACACACATCTCTATTTTCTTAAAATCATTTGTTTTCCTTGACCCACAACTTCATTCTGTGGGTGTGGGGTGCAAGGCTGGGAGATGAGTCACAAGCTAAAATAGTGGAGACGGAGCAGCCACAGGACTAAGATGCCAACCAGCCAGTCAACAGAGGCACCGATCCCCCTGCCAGGGACAGTCCACCTCTACCTCTTCTGCTCCAAGCATTCACAAGTCTCATGCTTGGAATGCTTAGCCAGGAAGAAGCATAGGAAACTTGCCATGTAGGGTCTTCACCTCCAAACATACCTGTCCCTTGTGTGAAATCAATCACCCTGTCTGTTGCACTCTAGTCTTGGCTCTTCATCCTCTAACTAGTCTCTGCCCTTCAACTTTCCCCTTTAATCCATATGGAAATCCCGTGGAATACTCTTTGAGGATGTGCTTTCCTAAACTGTATTATGATCCCAAACTACCTATAAGTCCAAAATCCTCCATCTGACATGCAAGGTCCTCCCTCTGTTATCTGCCTCCAATTTACTTCTCAAAAATTTCCCTGTAATTGCTAATGTAAGAATTGAGTTGTTTTCTCTGTAGTTTCCTGAAGATTCCTGTTCCTACCTCCCTGAAATTGCTGACTGCTCCCCTCCCTGAAATCTCCTTGCTTCTTTCTAATACCACTCTTATCTAAGTCCAGCTGCAACACTCTGTCCTCTAGAAAATGGTCTTGGATTTTCCCTACTTTCAAAACTTCCATTTGCCAAGAACTACTACAGCATGTGGATCATTTATTGCATCATCTACCATTCAATTTTTACCATGCAAAGGCTGCTGACTGCACAAAAGACTCACTCGGCTGCTGGACCCACTCAGGACACCAAAGTTGTCATTCCATTAAATCCAACACTAGCCACTCCAATGCAGTTGACAGCCTTTGCCCTGCCTTTGATTTCCAATGTGCCTGGTTTCACTAAGATCTCAAACTCCTCTTCCCAAGCTTTGCCTTTGGCATCCTTCCAGAAATACCCATTTCTACCACATTCCCAAGTGCAGTCACACACACACACACACACACACACACACACACACCTCCCAGAGCAGCTGTTTTAAGAACATCTAACATAGACCCTTACAAAGGTACCAGATTGTCTGTTTACAGAAAATGACCCACAGGGCATGGTCCAAGATTCCAGTCCTAACCTAGATGCTTACTAGTCCTATTTATTACCTGTGTGGACCTCAGCTTCCTCATCTGTGGACAGATGATTGCGTGGGTTAATTAGAAATGTATATGATGTTACTAGCACAGAGCTAGGCACAGAGCACGGCCCTCTACCTGGGCTATAAGGAAGAGAAGAGCAAGATAACACAGGAAGCCGAACACCTTCTATTCAGCCAACCCAGTGCCCAAGCCACTTCAGATCCAGGCAACTCTCTGTCCTTCCAGTCTCTGTTGATACTAACTCCATTCTCTCAGCAGCATCTGGACTCACCCTCGATTCTTTGTGTTCTTACACTTCATTAGAAAATTCCACTAGTTCTGCCTTCAAAATGGCTCGAGAATCTGACCGCGTCTCACATCTCAACTGCTAGCACCTGGCCCAGGCCCCTCCATCTTGTTCT